GTGGCCAGGTTCTGGGAAGAGACACCTTTCAAACAATATTTCTTGATGACAGTTCCTCATCTTTGAGTTTTTTAATGTCTGTCTACCATTCTTCTCCCTCCACTGCCATGACTTCTAGTACAGGCTTTAGAATGAAAATGAAGAAGAGATGGAAGCCTGATGCACTGGGTTCCTACTAAGTGTCTAGAACCAAACAATGCAACGAATCAGAAATTAGGGCTCAGAGAGCTTAAGTCACTTGATCAAGGTCACAGAGCTAGACAGTGTCAGAGCTGACCCTTGAATCTCTCAGGGCAACTCAAATGCTCTCTGCATGGTGGCACACACACTTACTTCAATGACCTGCAGATGTCTTCTTGGAGATAGTTTGAACATTGTTGTTTTGGTAATGATCAAAGCTAAAATGCAATCTTAAGTTAGGTTCCCTGGAGGCAGAGTCTGAAATGAAGATTCTTGTGTAAGTGAAGAAGGAGGAGAGGGAAGCAGGTTGGAGCATGGGAAAAAAGAGAAGAAAGGGTGCGGTCTGAGCTGGAGACTAGCGTCCCCCTGATACCGGGAGTTGTACCCAGATTTGATCCAACCTGGAGTCAAGAAGGTTGGTTTTTTAATGCTCGTGTAAGTTAAACACTAGCTGTGGGCTTCCCTGAGGGGTAGAGGATAACTTCCGAGTTGATGTGACTCTCTTGGGCAGAGGGTAATTTTCTGAAGAAGGAACCAGCTGTGTACCATTAGCAACCAACACTCACAGCAGCTGGGGGATGAGTGTAACAGCCACTAAATGGGATATACATGGATTACCAACTGCTTTTGACTCTTGGACTTTCTTTTAAAGAATGAAGGAACAAAGTAGGAAGGAATGGTTTGTCTGCACCACCAACCTTAAGCTGGCTTCCCATCTCTTGGAGTCTAATTGGCATGCACTTTTTTCCTCTCCTTCTCTGTCTTTTCCCCATTTGTCACCCAATCTTCTTTCTCATATCTGGTCAATAAGAATATATTAGATGCCTCTAACTTGGATGCTCACATACGGAGCCTGGGAAGGTCGGAAGAAGCTGGGTGAAGGACCTTTTAACTCTTAGGCTCTCAGTTAGATTCCAGATGGACAAAAAAAATTGATTATACCAAGTTCTCACTAGGCATGTTCTACTCCCAAGCCCTCCTTGCCTGTTTTGAAGGGCACTGAGCTTAAACAATCTAGATGAGGCTTTCAGCTTCAACACAGATCCTCAAAAGCAGTGACAGGAATGGCCGTTCCTTTTCTGAGTGAATCTCTCAGCAAAACTAACAAATAGTCAATTCCTTCTTGTTCATCATTCTTTGGGGCACCCCTCATTCCTTTGACTCAACAAAAATGGCCTTTGGTCAAAGATTCTCCCTCTCTCTGGGAGGAAAAACAGATGTAAGTCCAAGACAGAGGGTGTGCTAAAACAAGAATGATGATGTTTTTGAAGAAATCCTTTATTCATGGAGGTCACTCATGAAAGCTGAGCCTCTACCAACATAACTAGAAATAGATACTAATAGAGGCAAAAGGTCATGAGACATCACTTTGGAATTGATCTTCATTTCAAGAGAAAAGCCTGTCATTGGTCTAGAGAAAAGAAACTGTTAACAGAATTATTTTTAATGTACTTTTCACCCGACAAATCTGGTTGCATAAATAGCACATAAATTGCAAAGGCAAACTGAAAATCCTTGGAAATCTACTAAGTGATGCCACAGCAACATATTCCTTCAAAACAAGTGTGAGGGTGCAAATTCAGAGCAATTAATTTTTTTTTAAATTTGGGGACTGGTTTTACTGTGGCAAAAATTTCCTCTTTTTCGGAGACAACATTGGTAGTCTGAATGCATTCAGTGAAAACGTAGCTCCCACCTTTTCCTTCCGCATACTTCAATGGTAAATTCTTATTTGTCTATAACACTGGGCAGAGCTTCAACCTTTGTGGAAAACCCAAGGTAACAATTTGGCAGTGTTCTCTTTCAAGGCAGAAGAAAAATACAGCAGCACTGAACTATTCCTCGTAAATGAGCAGGCTCCTTTTCTCCTCAGGGTGACCTCTACCTTCAGAATCCGATGGTTTTATTATGATTAATAAATTTCATTTCCACAGAGGAAAAGGGACCATGTCAGCTCAAACTGAAAGCAAGGAGGCTTCTTTTCAAATGCTAATTTCTAAACACGCCCTTGTGTGACACTACAATTTAGACACAAGGTTATTATGGAAGATGTGGACTTGAGCACTACTCTTGCAGCAAATATGCCAGGCACGTCAGTGACCTAATGTCCTCAGAGCTGGCTAAGCACAGCCCAAAGGAAGAATGGCAATTCCCGGGGATCTCTATGGGAATGATGGGAAAATGGTCTTATGACTGACCTGCACATAGGGTCACCCTCCACATCACCTATCCCAGACCAAAGTGGACAACAGTGCAATCAGGTCATGATGCTCTTCGTGTCCCCACACCCCATCCATCAGAAATTACACATGAAATCTTTAATGTGTCCACTTCATTCCATTCATGCTATTACCACCACAACGTAAGCCGCAAGGATTTCATCAGAACCAAATCAACAAGAGCCTTAACTTTTGTCTCTTTGGTTCTACTCTTGACTCTTCAGACCACCAGCCATTTCAAACCACCAAATCTATCTGTCCATCTGTTTGTCTGGATGGACTCCATCCATCCATCTGTTCATTCCTCTATCTATCTATCTATCTATCTATCTATCTATCTATTTATCCACCTATCTATCATCTATCATATCTATCTATCGACCTATCTATCTGGTTAAATATAAATCTGTTTAAATCTAATCATATCACCTCCCTGCTTAAAACCCTCCAATGGTTATCCATTGATCCTAGAATAAATTCCAAACTTGCATGAGTTGTCCCTACCTTTCTTTTGATCCTATCTTACTCCTCTCTATCCCTTGCCCACAGTGCTACAAGCACACTGGCCTCATCGATACTCCTTGGACACATGCAGATTCATTCTCTTCTTAGGGCCTTGGCACTTGCTCACCCTCCACTTGAACTGCTTCCTTTCCTCCTTTATGTCTTAGATCAAGTCTCATCTCCCCAAAGAGAAGCCTCCTTCCCTGACCACCCTTTCTTAAGGAGACTTCCCAACTGCATCCCCACCCTGCATGTAATGGAGCACATCTCTAATAATGTGGTTTACTTACCTCTCTACCTGATTGTTTACCTGTCCCCCTCCTCGAATGTCAGCCCCTGGGGAACTAAGGCCGAGTCTATTTTGTTCATCTTTTTATCCCAGCTTCTAGCACAGCAGTGGCCACAGTGCAGGTGAACAAGGGGCCAAGCCAATACCACTGTGTGAATGCAGGCAGCAAGAGGGAGGAGTGAAGGAGAGAAGCGACACTGGGAAGACCCTGTGCCCATCATTATGATTCTGTTAGTAGCAAAGATTTCTCACATACGCTTTCTGAAGATTCTAGGTCAGCTGCTCCCAAAGACAGCCAAAACGGTTCAAGACACTCAGAAGACAAGCAGACTCTGAAAATGCAGAGTGTCTAATTTCACATCACCCCTGAGAGTTTACAAATCACTGGCCAAATTGCCATAAAGCTCATCAAAACCCTTTAGGGAAAAACCAAGCAAACAAAGAAGTAAAAGAAAACTGCTTTGCTGGCTAGCTGACCACAGCTTGCAGCCGTCATGAGCCCTCGTCTTTTTTGACCTCAGCAACAAGTTAAAACCAGCAGGCCACCCCTGGCCCTGGAGAGAGCAAAGGGCTTGAGGCAAGAAGACCCAGGTTCAAGTTCTGCTTTTGCACTGACCTTGCTCAATGCCTCAGGCAAATTACTCTCTCTGAACCTCGCTTGCCTTGTTTGTAAAATGCTATTGTTCTGTCTGAGCCCTGCCTAATTCACAGATAAAGCACTCAAAAAGAAACCAGATACATTTTAAAGCAGTCTTCATTTGGAGGTGATTATGATATAAGAGTTCTTATATAGAATTTCAGAAGCCAATCTCTCTCTCCTGCTCAGACTTTTGGCCTGTAGGGGCAACTGAAAGGTCCTGTTCTAATATGATAGCATGTAGCTCTAGCAGTCAACTTACAGACGCTGTTAGAGTCAAGATCTATCTAATTTATGAGTTACAGATGTAGTTTAAATTGCTATATTTGAACTTAAGGTTATGTTGGAGTAAAATGAATAAGTATGCTGCCTGTTGAATGGAAAATAGGAGCCCATGTTTGTTAAAGTGCTTTGTCAACTCTACTGAGAAATGCAAATATTACTTATTATTAACATCTTCCAAATCTAGCTGAAACAAGCTGAATGCTAATGAAAC